GCAGGAGGTGCAGGAGGTGCGGGAGGCACCGGCCGCGGCCCCCGGCGCGGAGCTGCAGAGTGCCGCAGGTAAGGAGCGAGGCAGAGGGGGTGGAGGGGCACCGACCCAGGGCTGCTGAGTCTCACTGCCCACGGGCAGCTGCACCCTTAGAGTTGCTTCTGTGTTCCCCTTGGCTGCTGGGACTGGCATCTCAGAGCTCGGCAAATGTGCTGCTTGTCTGCTGGGATTCACAGCCTTAGAATCTGTTGGGTGTTTTACTTGCTTACTGTGAATTACACCCTGAGAATTTGGTAAATATTTTGGTTTCCTAAGGTGTTTCACAGGTTTAGAATTTGTTCACTATTTTGGTTTCCTAAGGTGTTTCACAGCCTTAGAATTTGTTCACTATTTTGGTTTTCTAAGGTGTTTCACAGTCTTAGAATTTGTTCATCATTTTGGTTTTCTAAGGTGTTTCACTGCCTTAGAATTTGTTCAGTATTTTATTTTTCCAAGGTGTTGCACAGCCTTAGAATTTGTTCACTACTTTATTTTTCTAAGGTGTTTCACAGCTTTAGAATTTATTCACTATTTTGGTTTTCTAAGGCATTTCACAGCCTTAGAATTTATTAAATATTTTGCTTATTTACTGTGGTTTACACCCTTAGAATCTGCTGAATATTTAATTTATACCCTTATACCCTTAGAGTCTGTTCGGTATTTTACTTACCTGCTGTGGTTTCCACCCTTAGAATTTGTTCAATATTTTATATTTGCTACTGTAATTTACAGCCTGAGAATTTGGTTAATATTTTGCTTATCTAATGTGATCTACACCCTTAGATTTTGCTAAATATTTTGTTTGTCTCATATTTTACAGCTTTAGAATTTGTTCAGTGGTTTATATTTGCTACTGTAATTTGCAGCCTGAGTATCTGGTTAATATTTTACCTATCTAATGTGATTTGCACCCTTAGAATGTGGTAAATGCTTATCTACTGTTTGCAAAATATTTTATCTACTGTGATTTATACCCTTAGAATTCAGTAAATATTTTGTTTTTCTGCTGTGATTTTTAGCCTTAAACTGATTTAATATTTAACTTCTGTGATTTGCAGTCTTAAAACACCCAAGTGAAACTTTGGAGCTGATTGTTGCATCAAATCGTTACTACTTGTGGGGGAAAAAGCTGTTTTCTTCCTTTCCAACACTTAAAACATCTAAATAATTTCCATGTGTTAATATATAAATGTTTTTTATTTTGTATGTGCCTATGTCAGGTCTCTGAGTAACAGATCTGAAGCAGTTTCTGGTCTGGATTGGGTTTAGATCAGCTCTAAAAGTAATTTGTTAGTCTTCAGAGCTGTCGTGGCACAACTGTCTGTGTCAGAAGGACAGGGGGTTTGCTCTGCAGAGGAAGTACAGGAAAACACTTCGTCCCAGTGACTCTGCTCACAGAGCTTGGAATTGCTTTTGTAGCTCTTATCCCTTGAGCCTTGAGCACCCTAAGTCTCCCTTGTGCGGCACCAGCAGCACCTCAGGCTGCTGTGGGGCTTTTGGGGGGAGTTTGTCCTCTTGTTCCTCTGTGGAACAATAGCCCAAGCACACGTGGCAGTAAATGAATGAGACCAATGAACCTGGAAGTCAGTAGACACACCCTGGCTGCCCAGGAGAGGTGATCTGCTCTGGCTCTGTAGGGAAGCTCACTTGACTCTGCCTCATTGTCCTCTTAGTGCAATCACAGCTGGTGCAAAAGCTATTTTAAGCTGTTTATTCAATAAAAACGTACCTGAGGTCCTTGTTTAAATCATGGTCATTTCAGTTTCCAACTATTTTTGAAGGGTTTGGATATTTTATTGGGGAGTAATGTCCTTTGGGATCACAGATTCCTCTGGAGGATCCCTGTTGCTGTGTAATGCAATCAGTGAAGGGATCATGCAAGCTGAGTCCAGTGTACAGTCATATCCCACACAAATCCCAGAAAATTCCCTTTAAGCAAGGGCTTTTCTCCCAGAAACACAGCATGGAAGGGCAAGAACCTAACACATCTTAAATCCAGAGGGAAATGAGGCACAGAAGTATAAGAAGGTGATGGAAACCTCGGTCTCCCTCTGGTCTGTCCCTGTCAGGGATTGCTTGTTCCTGCAGCCACTGGAATTTGCTGCTTTAAAGTTGGAAGGATTGGGGAAGTCGCTGCTGTTTCCCTAAATTTGGGACAGGAACCTGGTCAGAAGAGACACTTAGGGAATTTCTAACACCACAGTTACACTGAACTCACTCTCAGCTTGGAGCACAGCAGGAGAGGGTAGGCTGGTCACGTTCTGTACCATGAACCACCGCTTGGATCATTTGTCTGGAGAATGGGAATTCTCCTTTCCCTTCCATGGGAAATCACAAGCTTGATGTAACTTAAGAGCACATGTCTAGCCTTCTGGAAGAATGTACTGCTCCAGTGCTGGATGCAGGTGGAAATACAGCCAACCATTCTGCTCAGGTGAGACCTCACCTGCAGTGCTGCTCCACCTCTGGGTCCAGCACAGGAAGGACATGGAGCTGTTGGAGAGTCCAGAGGAGGCACCAAGGGGATGAGAGGGATGGAGCAGCTCTGCTGGGAGGAAAGGCTGAGAGAGTTGGGATTGTTCAGCCTGGAGAAGAGAAGCTTTGGGGTGACCTCATTGTGGCCTTCAGTGCCTGAAGGAGCTACAGGAATCCCAGAATCACAGACTGGGATAAGGGAAAAATTCCTAGTGAAATAGAAGTGATCCAGGGCTATGTGGGGCTTTTAAACCAACTGTGTTCTACTTTGAAAATTTAAGAGCTGAAGAGTTGAGTGTGTTAAAGGTATGACCTCAACATCAGCCTCTTGGAATAACACACTCCTGTAAACCTACCACAGAACCAGCACTGAGAGGTACACTTGGATTGGACTTCCCTTTGGTCAAGGCTGAACTCCAGGCTTGGCCACTGTTCTGCCCCAAGTGTCTCTGTTGAGTGCCATTGTTTAGGGCTCCCTGAGCCATGGAGATGAGCAATTTGAAAATAAAGCACAACTGTCTTCATTTAGCTTAGTTATCAGGCAGAAGTTTTCCCTGTGCGGGTGGTGAGACACTGGCCCAGGTTGCCCAGGGAGGCTGTAGCTGCCCCAACCCTGGCAGTGTTCACAGCCGGGTTGGATGGAGCCTTGAGCAACCTGCTCTGGTGGGAGGTGTCCCTGCCCAGGGCACGAGTTGGGACTGGGTGGTCTCTAAGCTCCATCCCAAGCCCTAAAATTTTGAATCTGTGATTCATTTTTTTTATGGATTGTAGATACCAAAACTGATCTGCTTTATCTGCTGCTGTTAACTTTCATAGAATCAGAGGATTTTAGGGAGTGCTCCAGGCCAGATTGGATGGGGCTTGGAGCAGCCTGGGCTGGTGGGAGGTGTCCCTGCCCAGGGCAGGGGTGGAACAAGATCATCTTTAAGGTCCCTTCCAACGCAAACCATTCCATGATACATCTTGGAAGGAGACCTGTTCCCCCTGGAACTGTGTTGCTGCCCAGGAAGGTCTGGGTGTGTTTGTGGAAGGCAGAGGCTGGAAAGAGCTGTGTGGTGTGTGCTGGGGCCGTGAGGCAGAAATGGCTGTAAAGTGTAGCTAATTTAAAACAGTTTAAGTGGTTGTTTGGTATGTTTATCCATGTACTTCACCACTAATCCACAGGAACCTTCAAAGTGCCTTAACAACACTTAAATGGAAAATATCATTTTCTTCTAGATGTGGACAAAAATACTGTGAAAACGAGTGCTAAGTCTGCAAAACGAGGCTCTACTGGTGAAGATGAAATCCCTAGGAAAAAATCCAAGAAGAACAAGAAGCACAAAAGCAAGAAGAAGAAGAAAAAGAAGAAGAAAAGGAAGAAAGAGAAGAAGCATAAAAAGCAGCCAAAGGAGGCCAAGCTGAGCGCACTCCCCGGAGACCCTGCGGACGTGCCTCCTGTTCCTCTCTTGGTGCCGGAGAATTCCAGCTCCCAACTGAATGTACAGCACGGAGGGTTTGGAGAGGCAAACCTGTGCTCCCAAGCAAGCGAGGGGCTTGCTAATGAGGCTTTAGGACTTGTTTCTCATTCGGCAACTGATGCTCAGCAATCCACAGAAAACCTTGGCAGTGTGGGGGGGACTTTGTGTGCAGCAAATCCTCCCTTTAGCCTAGGAAGCAGCCAGGCTAATACCCAAGGAAATGCTGGTATAGCTCAAACTACAGTTTGCACTAGTGAAGAACAAATTCAGCAGTCCCATGGAAATATCTATCCTGTAGCTGTCAATGCCAGTGTTGTTGGTACTGGGAGTGAGACTTGGTCCAGTATTCCGTGTGGAATCACCAGTACATCTGAAATGCAGGAGTCAGTACAAGTTCCTCTGAGACCTCAAGGCACTGAGGAAGTAAAAGCTTTGGAGCCTGAGACCATGGAGGTGTTGACTTACTCAGAAGCTTCTCTGCACCCTGCAGCACCCAGGGGAGTGCAGACAGTGTCCGAACCCGCGCCCGTGGCCAGTGCTGCCATCCCTCAGGCCACAGGCTGGGCAGGTCCAGCTGCTGTGAAGGTCCCTCATGTGGCTGCGGTGGGGGGAGAAGTGAAAGTTCCAGAGGCAACTCAACAATCCCCACATTTGGGAACTGCAGGAAGGTGTTTGGAGCTGGGGGGTGTGAGCAGGACTCGGGAGCCATGCCTGAGGCCCTCCGTGATACCCGATAGCCTGAGTGCGACGCAGTTCAGCCCCATGGGGCTTTCAAGTGTCCTCAGAGCAGATGTGGTGCAACATCCCTTCAGACTCTCCGCATCATCCCCCGTGGTCCCTGTGGACATAAGTGCCAAAACAACCTTGGGACCAGGAGCTATTCCAAAAATGAAGGAGTTTGAACCAGCTGTGAAAAACGTGAAAGCTTTGGAAACAACCGTGGAACCTATGGGGGTTACAGCAAGAGATGTCAGAGCAGCTCATGGAAGTCTGCAAGGTCCCCCAGGTCCTGCAGCAATGCTGAGTGCATCGGGAGTACTCCTGCAGCACAGAGCGCTGTCAGAACCATGGAGTACAGACAGAATCCAGGGATCAGCACTTCCAGCAGGGCTGAGTTTCAAAGCAACTCCAGAACCCACAGCTGCTGTGCAGACCTGTGTTCCCCAAACAGCTCCTGGAGTCCATGTGGCAGAAGGCTTCAAAGCTACAGATTCAGAAGGTGCTTCCTTGCTGAGGGACTCGAGATCTGAGACTGAATCCAGCCTGACGGGTTTGGCACCTGCTCTGTCTCTGCAGAAAGAGCAGGGGCCAGGAGAAGTCCCAAGACCAACAGCTGTGGTGGAAGCTAAAACTGCAGCAACAGTTTCACCGTCCTTGCAGGTGGAAGGTGTGAAAGCTTCAGCAGAAGCTGTGCATTGTGGGACTCTTTCAAGTCCAGGACTTCATGCCTCAGAAAGGCCTCCTGAGACTGTGGCTGCATGTGAAGGTGTGGGAGCTGTCAGAGAGTCTGAGGTGTCAGCAGCAGTGAGGCACTGGCAAAGCACAGCAGAGGGAGAACCTCCTGTTGCAGGCCACACAGAGACTTCTATCCTTGCACAGCCTCAGGTCACGAGAACCTCACAGACTGAGGTGGAAGGGGAGAGACAGGATTCCCAGCTTGCTCCAGAAGATCCACACAAAACCAGGAGTAGAGAAGCAGTCCTAGAACCTGTGCAAACCTTAGAAACCAGCTCAGCATCCCTTCAGGAACAAGCAGTAGGTCATTCAGTATTGGAGTCTTTGCCCAGTGTGGAAGAAAACACAGCATCAGGAATTCTGACAGAGTTGCCAGATGGGAAAACTCAGGGACCTACTGTGGAATATGTGGCTGGAACAAGCAGCAACCAAGGAAACGAGCCCTCAGAAACGGAGAACACAAGATGTTTGGAGCCAACATCGAAAGCTGGAGAAGGGAGTTGCTTGGAGAGCACGAAGTCTGCAGCAGTAGAGGCGAAAGGTTCTGGAGCAACTGAAGGGCATGAGGTACCCAAGGCAGGAGCTTCAGCAGCTGTGCCAGATTCTTTGCAGGCTAAGAAGCTATACCTGCAGGCACTTCTAGAAGCAAGACTTGCTGCAGAATGTCAGAGCTTAGAAGAGACTCCAGAAACCTTGGGGGCTGCTGACACCAACTCTTTGGAAGCAGTTCCTCAACTAGGGGATGTGAGAGGTGTGGAAACAACAAAACCTGAAGTGTCAACAGAGGGACAATGTGCAGAAGAGGTGCAGGGCCAACAGGTGGAGGATATGGTGGTGGAAATGGAAGATGAAGAGCAGATTCAACCAGCTGAGCCTGCAGAAACAGTTTTTAGTTCAGCAGAGGAAAAAGATTCATCAGAGGCTCCTGTGGCAGCAACAGGTCTGGAAACATCTCAGGCTGATGGAAAGCTCCGAGATGCGGAAGCAGCTGTGGGCTTGGAAGCAGAGACCAAAGACCTGGAAGCAGCTCCAGCAGCCAAGACTGACACAGAATTAGTTCCAGGACTTGAGGTGGAAGCCGTTCCAGAGGCTGAGGATGTCAAAGAAGCAACTCCAGAAGAGGACTCGGAGAAAAGAGACTCCGAAACCTCAGATGTGCAGCCTGACGTGGCAGCAAGGATGAAGGAGACTCTCATGAGGCTGGAGAATGTCATCGAGAAAAGTAGCCATAGAACCAGCGAGAAAAAACATGACTCTAAGAAGCAGAAGAGGAGTCGCACCAAGTCCCAGTCCAGGTCTAGGAAGAGGAAGAAGAAGTCAAGGTCACGCTCTACTTCCAGGCGTTTGGCCTCCAAACGAGCACGTTCGAGGAGCAGGAACTACTCTGTGTCCAGAAAAAAGCATTCCAAATCCCGATCCAGGTCTGTGGAGAAGAGATTGTCCTCCCGGAGGTCCAGGCGCAGGCGCTCCCGGTCATCTGACCGCTACAGGTCTAAATCCAGGTCAGCAGAGAAGAGATTGTCCTCTGGGAGGTCCAGGCGGAGGCGTTCCAGGTCGTCTGACCACTACAGATCCAAGTCCAGGTCAGTGGAGAAGCGACTGTCATCTCGAAGGTCCAGAAGAAGACGTTCCAGGTCTTCTGATCGCTACAGATCCAAGTCCAGGTCAGTGGAGAAGCGACTGTCATCTCGAAGGTCCAGAAGAAGACGTTCCAGGTCTTCTGATCGCTACAGATCCAAGTCCAGGTCAGTGGAGAAGCGACTGTCATCTCGAAGGTCCAGAAGAAGACGTTCCAGGTCTTCTGATCGCTACAGATCCAAGTCCAGGTCGGTGGAGAAGCGACTCTCCTCTCGGAGGTCTGGGCGCAGACGTTCCAGGTCATCCGACCGCTACAGATCCAAGTCCAGGTCAGTGGAAAAGCGGCTCTCCTCCCGGAGGTCTGGTCGTAGACGTTCCAGATCTTCTGACCGCTACAGATCCAAGTCCAGGTCGGTGGACAAGAGATTGTCCTCATGGAGGTCCCGCCGCAGGCGTTCTAGGTCCTCTGACCGCTCAAAATCCAGATCCAGGTCTTCAGAAAAGAGAGGGGGCAAAGAATACTCCTGGAGGTTCAGACACAGATCTGGTTCCTCTGATGGCTCAAAGTCAAGGTCCAGATCAGTGGAGAAGAGAGGTCGGAAGGCATCTGTGAGGGCATCCAAACGTCGCCGCTCCAAGTCCTCCGACAGGTACAAGTCCAGGTCCAGATCAGTAGAAAAGAGAGACCGGAAGCAGTCGTCACGGAAGTCTAAACACCTGCACTCCAAGTCCTCTGACCGTTCCAAGTCCAGATCCAAGTCAGTGGGAAAAAAGAAGGAGTCAGCACGGAAGTCCAAGCGTCACCGCTCAAAGTCTTCTGAGCATGACAAGTCCAGGTCCAGGTCTACCGAAAAAAAGCGTAAAGAGTCTTCAAAAAAGTCCAAAAGGAAACGTTCCAAGTCCTCTGACAGCGTTAAGTCAAGGTCCAAATCTGTAGAGAAAAGTAAGTCATCCTCAGCAAAGTCCCGGAGCAAGCATGCCGAGTCTGTGGAGCCTCAGGAGTCAACCAAAGGTCTTGACAAAGTAGATGTCCCTGAACCTTCCTTTGGAAGTGAAGGCAGGTCCTCTAATGGTCCCATGTCCTTGTCTGAACAAGGAATCAATGGCCCAGAGCTGCCACCATCATATGGAACTGGCTTTTCCAAAGCTTCTGAAAGTGTTGAGAACAGCTCCTCATCTGTTGACAGAACAGGTCTGCAGTCTTCTGCCTTGTCTGAATTGGATGCTCCCAAAACCCCAGACGGCCAGGAGCTGAGATCCATGTCTGTGGAAAAAACACAGGATTCAGAGCTTTCCATGACATCAGAAAACGGCTCAGCAGAAAAAGCTTCACCCCTACCTGAACTTCCATACGCCACACCCAAGTCGAGATCCTCATCTGTAGAAAAAAGGGGAGATCTGGAGACCTCTTCAGTGACAGAATTCTATCCCTCCGTGTCCCACGAAGATGGATCCAGAACTGCCTCCCTCAGAGAAGTGGAGGGTCCAGAGCTTCCTCCAGCACTTCAAAGTGACTACAAGGCAATCTCTTCGTCCTCTCTGCTCTCCAACTCCTCTGATGGCCATGAATCCAGGCACATCTCTGGTGACCAGACAGAGCTCCAGCAGTTCTTGCAAGTACCTCAACATGAAGCTTCCCAGTTGGCTGCCAGCCCTGTGGAAGCTCAGCGGCCTGAGGTGACACACTCTGTATTCCCTGGTGGCCATGGGTTGGTCTCCTCACCTTTGGCAACAGGCCACATGCAGGAGCCTTCTTTGGCTGCTGACCGTGGGCACTTCGGGTCTCCTGATGGACATGGACTTGGTGCACAAGTAAAGGAGCTTCCACTGTCTGAAGGAGAGTCCTTCAAGTCACCTGATGGAAACGATCAAAGGTATTTATCTGTTGAGAAAGTCAAGGCTCCAGAGGTTTCCCTGACATCTGTGTGTGCTCCTGTTGAGGTCTCAGATGACCTCATGTCAGTGTCCTCTTTTGAAGTTCATGACTCCAGATCATCTATTGACAAGGCTTTGGATGGTCCAACACTTTCACATGTCCTTGACGGCTCTGAAGTGCACGAGTCAAGATACCTTCCTGCTGGAAAAATGGATGGAGCAGGATCTTTGGTGGTGTCCAAAGGTGGAATTTCCATATGCCATGATGGCCACACCAAGTACAATTCCTTTGAGCAAACAGAAGGTGTAGAACTGTCAGTGGCACCTGAGCTCAGGTGTTCTGTCTTCCCCGAAGGCTATAAACTGACATCTGTTGCAGTTGGAAAAGTGGAGATGCCTCAGTCTCCTGTCCTGCTGGAGAGTGGATTCTCCGATGGCTGTGGAGCAGTGAGCGCGCCCGGGAAGCTGCAGCCCCCAGTGGCTGCAGTGGCGGCGGAAGGTGGTATTCTCCTGGTACCCGACAACCACGAGCTGAGACCTGTCTCTGCCGACAAGGTGGAGGTGCTGAACTCATCTGAGCTGAAATGCATCGTGTCCCCTGATGGCTACAAGCTGAGATCTGCCTATGCTGAAGGACTCCAGGTGCAGGAGGCTGCTCAAATACTGGAGAGCAGATGTTCTGCTGCCTCTGATGGTCCCGAGTTGGAAAGAGCTGAGGTAGAGGAGTCTTCTCAGGTGTCTGAGAATGAGTACGCCATAGGGCTGGACGGCCCAGAGTTTACATCAACCCCTGCCGGCAAAACAGAGCTGCGGAAGCTGTACCAGATGTCTGAGGAAAGGTGTCTGGAGGCCATGGAGAGCCAGGAGCTCTCTGCTGAAAGGACACAAGTGCAAGAGCATCTGGTGTCTGAAAATGACTGTGCTGTGTCCTGGGTGAGCCAGGAGTTGAGGTCCAGCTCTCCTGAGAAGGCCGAGATGCAGGAGGCTGCGCTGGTCCCTGACAATGACTGTGTGTCCTCTGAAGATCACGGATTGATGTCGTCCCGGGCGGAAAAAACAGTGGTGCAGGAGTGTTTTGTGCTGCCTGAAAATGACTGTGGTGTGCCTCCTGAGGAGATGGCAGCGAGCCCTGCTGAGAAAGAGCCTTCTGTGACTGCTGGCAGTGACTATTCTATTTTCCCACGAGGCCAAGGACTGCAGTCCGCGCTCCTGGAAAACGCAGCAGCACCGGAGCCTGTGCTGATCCCAGACACCCAGTATGCTGCATCTCCTGAGGGGCAGGGGCTGCTCTACGAGAAGACCGAGGTGCAGGAGTGCTCTGTGCTCTCTGAGTACGAGGTGTCCCCTGAGCAGCGTGAGGGGAGAGCCAGTCCCGTGGAAAAAGACTTGGAGGAACCTTCAGAAGCATCCGAAAGTGAAAGTTCAATCTCCACTGACAGCCAAGAGCTGCAGACTAGAGTTGTTGGAAAAGCAGAGGTGCAGGAGTTGTCTTTGTCTGAAGGTGAGTGTACCACGTCCCCTGAAGCTCAGGAGCTGCAGTCCAGCCCTGGTGGAAAACCTCTGACATCGGACAATGAACGTGCTCTGTCCCCTGAGGAGTACGAATCCAGAGTGGTGCATGCTGAGAGAGCAGAGGGTGTGGATTCTGCCGTGACAGCTGAGCATGACCATCTCTTCTTCGAGAGCCAGGAGGTGAGATTCAGCTCTGTTCTGAAGGGAGATGGGCAGGAGCTTTCTCCAGCACCTGAAAACGAGCATGGAGCATCCCTTGACGGGCAGGACTTCAGTTTCTCCACTGCTGGAAAAGTAGATGGTCTCGAACCTGTGATGCTGAACGACAGAGCCTCCATGTCCCCTGATCAGAGCGACTTGAAAACCATCCCTGTGGAAAACATGGATCATGCAATGCCTGAGGGTGGGTGCTCCGTGTCTCCTGGTGGCTACAGTGTGAGATCGGGTGAAGAAACAGGAGATCTGGAGCCCTCATCAAGATCTGAACGTAGGTATTCCGTATCCTCCTATCAGGAGGGTCCCATGGAGGAAGAGGGTCTAGAGTTGCCTTTTACTTCTGAACACAGACGATCTGTATCCCCTGAGGGCCATGACCAGAAGTCTACTATCGATGAAGACATGGACGATCGTGAGCCCTCTCTGACGTCCGAGCACAGACGTTCCACTTCCCCTGATGAGCACGAGTCAAGGTCTAGTGCTGGGGAAGAAGCAGAAGATCTGGAGCAGCCTTTGACAACAGAACGTAGAAGCTCTGTGTCTTCTGATGGGCGTGAGTCAAGGTCAACCACTGGGGAAGAAGCAGAGGATGCAGAAGCCTCCATGATAGCTGAACGAAGAGACTCCATATCCTCTGATGAGCAGGAGTCAAGGTCTACTGCTGGGGAAGATGCAGAAGATGGGGAGACCTCTTTAGCTGAACGTAGACAGTCCACGTCTTCAGATGACCAAGAATCAAGGTCTGCAGCTGGTGAAGAAGCAGAGGATGTGGCAGCTGAACGTAGACGCTCTGAGTCTCCTGATGGACGTGAGTCAAGGTCAACTGTTGGTGAAGAAGCAGAGGAGCAGGAGCTCTCTTTGACAGCTGAACGTAGACACTCCACCTCTTCAGATGAGCATGAGTCAAGGTCTACTGCTGGTGAAGATGCAGAGGATGTGGAGCCTTCTTCTGCAGCTGAACAAAGAGATTCCATGTCGTCGGATGAGCAAGAGTCAAGGTCCACAGCTGGTGAAGAAGCAGAAGATGTGGAGCCTTCTCTGGCAGCTGAGCACAGGCGTTCGGCATCCCCTGGGGGAGAATCAAGGTCTACCACTGGTGAGGAAGAAGGAGATGATGTGGAGCCCTCCTCGGCAGCTGAACAAAGAGACTCCTCATCGTCAGAAGAGCATGAGTCAGAGTCTTCCAGCGGTGAAGAAGAGGGTGAGGACGCAGAGCCCTCTTTGGCAGATGAGGACAAGCAGGATTCTATGCCCCTGGAGAGATCAGAGGAACAGGACTCTTCCTTCGTCCCTGATGGGAGACGTTCTGAGTCTTCTGAGCGTGAAAAATCCAGATCCAAATCTGCCGATAAAGCATCTGACAAAGAGTCTTCACGGAGATCTGTGAGCAGAGTCTCCAAATCTGCTCACCCAATGAGTCGATCCACCTCTGTGGAGAAAGCAGCAGACAAAGACTCTTCACATAGGTCCAGGCGGAGACGCTCCAGGTCCACGGCTCGCCAGAGGAGTCAGTCCACGTCCGTGGAGAAAGCAGCAGACAGGGAGTCCTCGCGCAGGTCCAGGCGGAGGTGCTCCAGGTCTGCTGCTCGCCAGAGGAGCCAGTCCAAGTCCGTGGAGAAAGCGGGAGATAAGGACTCCTCCCGGAGGTCCAGGAGCCGGCGCTCCAGGTCCTCCCAGCGCAGGTCCAAGCGGTACGACACCGACTCGCGCTCCAGGCGGAATCGCTCCAGGTCAGTGACGCGCAGGAGAGCGTCACGATCCAGGTCCAGCTCGCTGTCACGGTCCAGGCACAGGCGGAGGAGTAGGTCCAGGTCGGCGTCGCGGCGGCGACGTTCCTTGTCCAGGGACAGGCGTAAGAGATCCCAGAGGAACAGGTCACGGTCTACCGACAGGAGGAGGAGAAGATCAGACTCCAGAGACCGTCGAATCTCGCTCCGGTTGCGGAGCAGGAGCCGATCACCTCTGCGGCAAAGGCGATCCCGATCCAGAGGGAGACGACGGAGCTCCAGCAGGTCACCGATCCGACTGCGGCGATCCAGGTCTTCAGGGAGGAGGAGATACAGCAGATCCCCTGACCGGCGCCGGTCACGGTCGTCGGAGTTCTCCAGCAGGTCACCCAAACGTCTTACAGACCTGGGTAAGTCAGTGTTCCATTTCTGGTTTAAGGGTTGTAGCAGGGTTAATGGTTGGACTTGATCTTAGAGATCTTCTCCAACCTTGAGGATTCTGTTCTATGATTCTGTGCAGCATTTCTAAAGAGTTTCCTTGAAGTTGTTTTGCATGTTGCTTTCAGGCTGTGACTTCCCAGGGAGCACCATCAACACTGAAAGTGTCTTTAGAGCAGGTTGTGCCTCAGTTCTTGAACTTCTATCCAAAGGTTGCCTGTGGCAGTCTGGAGGGATACTGCAGTAATAGTTTTGTAAAGGCCAAGTGCTCCTTAAGAAACTTAAGGCTGCAGCCTGTGAGGAAACCTGTGCTGGACTTGAGGTTCTGAACCTTCTAGTCCTGTCTTGGTTACCAGGGAAGATTTTGAGTACTTGAAGGGACCTACAAGGGAGGTGCAGAGGGACTTTGGACAGGGGATGAAGGGACAGGACACAGGGAATGGCTTCCCACTGCCAGAGGGCAGGGACAGGTGGAGATTGGGCAGGAATTGCTCCCTGGGAGGTGCTGAGGCACTGGCACAGGTTGGTCAGAGCAGCTGTGGCTGCTCCATCCCTGGGAGTGTTCCAGGCCAGGTTGGATGGGGCTTGGAGCAGCCTGGGCTGGTGGGAGGTGTCCCTGCCCAGGGCAGGGTTGGCACTGGATGAGCTTTGAGGTCCTTCCAACCCGAGACCCTGAATCCGCGAAGCCTTGGCCAGTGAAGTGTTTGTGTGCAGAGCGTGGGAATCATCCCTGGCTCAGCTTTGGTGCTTTGGTTAAGCAGCAAATTCCTAGCAGTATACTTGGATTGCTTGAGGAGTTAAGGAATGTTGTTTTTGCAGGATATTGCTGGTAAAGCTGTTGGCAACTCATTCATTTGCAAACTGCCAAAGGCCTAATTTATTAATTTGTCATTCCTGGGTAAGGGCCACAGATCCTTTTTTCCGTTAATGAGGCCCAATCCTGGTTTATTGGCAGTTTGGTGTGTAATTGCAGTTGGCACAAGACACGTTTTTCTCAGAGCTGTTGGTTTGCTGTTTGGTGGTTGTAAGTAGCTTTGAGGGACCTCGTCAGGAGCTTTGAGTGCTCTTCTGAGAGAGCTGGTGAGGAAGCTTCGGGATCTGTGCCACGTAGGAATGAATTCAGGGTTTCCAGAACCAGAATGAGTTTGGGGTTAGTGGGTTAGGGATCACAGCTAGTGCTGCAGGGTGGTTGGGACTGGATGATCTCAAGGATCTCTCCCAGCCTTGGTGCTAGGTGGGATGGTGAGGTAGAGCCGTGGGGTTCGGAGGGTGTTGGGTGCTGCAACTGGGATTGCTGTGCCTTGGGTTACGTTTGCAGTCCTACTTGTCTGTTGTGCAGAGCAAGCTAAGGACAACTTCAGTTCCTTCCAAGAACCATGAAACACAGAGTGGGGGAAAGTGTTATAGCCAGAGCTGTTTGTTGAGAAGTGAAGAACTATGCAAGTAATGTTCAATCCATCCTTGCAGACAAGGCTCAGCTGCTTGAAATCGCCAAAGCCAACGCGGCTGCCATGTGTGCTAAGTCTGGTGTCCCCTTGCCCCCGAGCCTGATGCCTCTGCTGTCCCAGAAGAAGGATGACAAAGCCAACCAGAAATCATCGAGGGACACGCTGAAGGAGCTCACTGAGGTAAGGGAGGACATCGGCATCAGGCCTGGAGACACCCAAACTGGGCTTTGTGATCATCCAGGCTGGAAAAGCCCTCCAAGCCCATCGAGTCCAACCTGTGATCCAGCAACTAGCCAGAGTCATGTCCTGAGTTCCTTGGACAGCTCCAGGGGTGGTGACTCCACCACCTCCCTGGGCTGCTCCTTCCAGCCTGACAGCCCTTTGGAGCCCTTATCTCCATATGGTTCTCCCTGCAGTCCTGTTAACAAAACCCAAAGCTTTCCCACCTAGTTTTTGGTTCATCAGACTGGTTTGGGTTGGAAGGACCTTAAAGCTCATCCAGTTTCACCCTCTGTCCCTGGCAGGGACACCTTCCACTAGCCCAGGATGCTCCAAGCCCCATCCAGCCTGGCCTGGAACACTTTCTCAGAAACTAGAGACAATCCGGAACAGATAAATGCCTTTCTTAATGGCATAATCAGTTCTGAAATTGTTACCTCTATAAACACATCTGAGATGAAGCCATGTCAGAGTGCTGAGAAGCCTGACCGCTCTGGGAATTCCCAGCCCTGGTAATGTGTTGGATGATGTCTCTGTTCTCTTGAACCTAAATCGGCCACAGAGCAGTCCAGGCCTTCCCCAGGTGGGAGGAAACCAGTGTAAACTTCTCAACCATCACATTTGGCCTCTAGAACACCTAGAACACAGGTTGGACTTGATGATCTCGGAGATATTTTCCAACCTTGATGATTCTGTGATCTTTTAGCTTTTTTTTGGTCTTTATCCATCCCTTTTTTCCTCTCTGTTTCCCCCCATGGTGTCTCCTCCTGGTATGACTGCAGTATCCCCACGGCTCCTCTGGTTTTACACCCAACTCCTGCACGCGAGCTGGGAGTGTGGTGTTGCCTCCCTGGCCAGCACCAGAGCATTTAAGAGGGACTCTGAGATCTTATGGAGCTGTTGGTACTCACAAGGTCTCTGTTCCCTGTGGAGCTCAGATGCTCAGGAGTGACTAGTTGTGGTGACTAACACACCTTGGTTGATGCTAAGCAGTGTGAGATACCTAAAGTTCACCTCTTGAGACTGTTTCTAAATGATGTTAACCTCCTGGTTTAGTCAGGAAACCACTTCTTTTTTTTTTTTTCCTTTTAGCTGAAATGTTATTTGGGTGGAAATTCCAGATTTATTCCCCTTGTTCTTTCCCCCTCCAGAAATGCAAGAAGATTGCTCAGAGCACAGATGATGTGATTGTGAACAAACCTCATGTGTCGGATGAGGAGGAGGAGGAGAGACCTTTCTACAATCATCCCTTCAAGCTCAGTGAACCCAAACCCATTTTCTTCAACTTAAGTGTGAGTCCTGCTTGACTTTGCAATGCTTTGATCCTGGTGCTTGTAAATAACACAAGGAATTGTCCAGGATTGAGAATCTTGGTGGAACTGGGAGTGTGTCAATGGCAATTTAAATAAGCTTCCAATTCCACCAAGATGTAATTGAGAGTTGCAGTGAATTTGGAAGAACATATGGTAGAAGTAGATTTACATTTATGTTGGTAAGGGATACAGTGAATCTTGGAAGGCCTTGGAATTCTGAAGGCTCCAGAGGGGGTTGTCCTTGAGTGGTTATGGTCAGTTCTACCTGTTGGCCACATGCTGGACCCTTCAGTGTCATTCTTCAGCCATTCCCATCCATATTCCTAGGGGTTTGGCCAGTATTAGCCAGTATTGCCATCTCTGTTTGCCTCCTGAAAGGGAACTTTGGAGAGATTCCTGCAGATTCCTGAGGTATAAACACCATGTCTGAGGAAAATGAGGTCATGGACATGATCTGCTCTGAATCTGCTCTGCTCAGAGGCTCATGGTGCTAATAAAGGAACCTGGAATTAGATAACTGCTGCTCTCTACAGAATCACATGCATCTTGTCATCACAGCCAGTGTTTTTCCTGCCCAGGATTTTCACCTTGGAGCTTCCCAGCCAAAGTACCTGTGGCAGACGAAGGTTTTACATGTCTTGGGGTTGAGTGAGAGAGGGAAGGTCTTGGAGGGTTGATTTAGGTGATTTCTCATACTCTCTTACACAGCAATGTGTGTGTTGAGGGCTGTGCCAAAATGGTGCATTCTAGGGCTTGTTACCCTGTATTTAGAAGGAAGAATGTTAGGAAAACTGAATCCCAAGTGATGCCACCAATCATCTCCCCAAGTCACATGGTGAACCTTGTGTGTTTTCACGCCTAACCTCTCCTGTGCCTCGTTGCAGACTCCCAGCATAAAGCCAGCACCACCTCCCCAGCCCAAAAACCAGGTCAGCCTGTCCAAGGAGTTCCCGGTCTCCTCCGGCTCCCAGCACAGGAAGAAGGAGGCAGACAGTGTGTATGGAGAGTGGGTTCCCGTTGACAAGGGCGGCAAGGATGACGGCAAGGACGACGTGTTCCCCAAACCAGCCATTGAGGTAAGGAAGGCTTATCACATCAGAGCAGCCAGACCTCTCTGCGGGGCCGGGAGGGGCCGAGGCGCTCAGCCGGGCAGGAGCTGAGCCCTGCAGGTGGGGGAGCAGCCTGCACCCCAGCACTGCTGGTGCTCAGGACAGCCTGAGCTGCTGCTGCAGGCTGGCACTTATCCATACATCCAGATACAGAGCTTCCTGCAGGGCTGGGTGAGCTCCATGATGTGTTATGTGCTGATTAAAGCTGTCCCACCAATGGCATAGCATTGACCTCCCCTGGGAGTGTGATCCCTGAGAACCAGGTGTGAAAGGAGCTTCTAGAACTGCCATTTCACCTGGGTGGGTCTGGTGATTTTCACTTGGATGGGTCTGGTGGTTTGTTAGCTTTCCAGCCATATTTTCCCACACACCTGGCACATGGCCTTGCCAAAGGAAATCTGATTGTATGGAAAAAAAGCCACAGACCAAAGGTTTTTCCCGTTGAAATACCTTCCCAAGGAGGTTTTCTGGGGGTTTTGTAATTTAAGTCCGTGAAATATTTAAGAGAGATGTGAACTTTTTGAAGTTGCTGTTACCTCACTGCACCCAAAGCCAATCCCAAACCTGTTCCATCAGTTTCTGACAAATCCACCTCACGTCCTGGTGCTTTTTGTTCTTCGACAGACCAAAGGTTTTTCCCGTTGAAATACCTTCCCAAGGAGGTTTTCTGGGGGTTTTGTAATTTAAGTCCGTGAAATATTTAAGAGAGATGTGAACTTTTTGAAGTTGCTGTTACCTCACTGCACCCAAAGCCAATCCCAAACCTGTTCCATCAGTTTCTGACAAATCCACCTCACGTCCTGGTGCTTTTTGTTCTTCGAGAACCTTCTGGTACAGTTCCTGGA